AGAGGCAGACCGCTCTGTACTAGGGACAGGGACAGAGTTAGGGCCACAGAAACGAGAATTGGGGACAGAGAGAAGTTACTTAGGGACAGAGAACCATTACTCAGGGACACAGACTTGTTAATGAGGGCCACAGAATCGTTATTTAGGGACAAAGAAACGCTAGTTAGGGCCACAGAATTCATACTCAGGGACAGACAGAATTTTACTCAGTGCCAGAGAATTGTTACTTAGGGCCACAGAAACGTTATTAGGGCCACAGAATTTTTACTCAGGGACAGACAGAATTGTTACTGAGTGCCAGAGAATTGTTACTCAGGGACAGACAGAATTGTTACTGAGTGCCAGAGAATTCTTAGGGCCACAGAATTCATTCTCAGGGACAGACAGAATTGTTACTCAGGGACAGACAGAATTGTTACTGAGTGCCAGAGAATTGTTACTCAGGGACAGACAGAATTGTTACTGAGTGCCAGAGAATTGTTACTCAGGGACAGACAGAATTGTTACTGAGTGCCAGAGAATTGTTTACTCAGGGACAGACAGAATTGTTACTGAGTGCCAGAGAATTGTTACTCAGGGACAGACAGAATTGTTACTGAGTGCCAGAGAATTGAAGGGAATTGTTACTGAGTGCCAGAGAATTGTTACTCAGGGACAGACAGAATTGTTACTGAGTGCCAGAGAATTGTTACTCAGGGACAGACAGAATTGTTACTGAGTGCCAGAATTGTTACTCAGGGACAGACAGAATTGTTACTGAGTGCCAGAGAATTGTTACTCGCACAGACAACAAAATTGTTACTTGCACAGACACAGAATTGTTACTCGCACAGACACAGAATTGTTACTCAGGGGCCACAGAATTCATACTCAGGGACAGACAGAATTGTTACTGAGAATTGCCAGAGAATTGTTACTGAGTGCCAGGGTTACTCAGGGACAGACAGAATTGTTACTGAGTGCCAGAGAATTGTTACTCGCACAGACACAAAATTGTTACTTGCACAGACACAGAATTGTTACTCGCACAGACACAGAATTGTTACTCGCACAGACACATAATTGTTACTCAGGGCCACAGAATTCATACTCAGGGACAGACAGAATTGTTACTGAGTGCCAGAGAATTGTTACTCAGGGACACCTAATCGTTGAATTAAATAGTATGTCAGACAACATGCAGAGGAGTGGCAGAGGAGGCAATGTTTTAGGAGCGAGCAGACGTGGCAGCAGAGGAAGGGGTCGAGGCAGCAGTATTCGCAGCCAGAGGCCAGTGCTCCCGGTGTCATCCAGCGGTCGTGTCTCCACCGACAACCCTGCCGTCATTGATTGGTTGGCTCGGTCGTCTTCCTCTTCCCAGGTCACCTCTGACACCTACAGCCAACGGTCGGTGGGTACGTCAGACACAACCGTTAGTTGGCATGGCCCGGGACCAAGCCCACTGAAATCACGTGTCCTCTACCTGCCCCTGTCCTTTGCTGTTCCCTCACCAAGCGAAGTATCGCATGCTGTGGGCTCAGCCCCACTGTACAGTGAGGAAGAGCTAACAGAGGGCGGTCAGGAACGGGGGGAGACATCGGCCTTTTTCAGCAGCCAAGCGAACAAGTACTGGCGAGGAGAGTGGCTCGGTAGCCGGTCTAGAGACAGGTCTGTCTCCTGACCCAGACGCAGCCGAGGGGGCTAGTAGTGAGGCGGAGACCCTACTTGATGATGAGGAGGTTGATCGCACTTGGCAGCCTCGTCGTCATCAGGCAATTTCTTCCGCATCATCAGGAGAAGAGGGTGGCAGCTTGGCAGCGAGCAAAACAGTCGGTGGGTTGCCCAGGAGACAGCAGCAGCAGGGTCGCATCAGTGTCAGTGGAGCCAAACGTCCACGGAGTAGAGCACCAGCTCCACTGCAGCCTACCACCACGGCCAGTAGTGGTGCCGGTGCGCACGGAGGAAGTAGCAGTCAGCCAGTGAAGAGTAGCGGGGGCAAAGTTTCCTACTCGGTGGTGTGGCAATTTTTCCTCAAGCCGCCCGAGGAAGTAAACGTAGCCGTATGTCGACTATGTGGCCAGAAATGCAAGCGTGTGGCCAGGGGGCCCATGTGTGGGACTACAGCGTTGCGTCAGCATATGCAGCGTCACCATTCGGTGGCCTGGGAAAACCGTGATAAACATACGGCGGCTGCCTGCCCCTAGCCACCCGGGCTCCTATATACCGCTCCGTTCACTGCTGCCAAGTCCAGAGTCTGTCAATGATCGCCACACTCTGCTGCCATACTGCCACTTTCAGGATTCTTCTCAACTGTCTGGTGTGTTAAATTTTTTGACATAGGGTGCAGGCAGATTACGGGCCTCACATAGCTGCTGCCAGGCCCTAATCTGCCATGGGCCCCTATATACCGCTCTCCTCATGCTGCTGCCAAGTCCAGAGTCTGTCATGGGTCCCTGTACGGCCTCCCATTGCTGCTGTCTCCATCGCCACACTCTGCTGCCATGTGCCACTTTCAGGTCTCTTCACACTGCTGGTGTGTTAAATTTTTTGACATAGGGTGCAGGCAGATTACGGGCCTCACATAGCTGCTGCCAGGCCCCTAATCTGCCATGGGCCCCTATATACCGCCTCCTCATGCTGCTGCCAAGTCTAGAGTCTGTCATGGGTCCCTGTACGGCCTCCCATTGCTGCTGTCTCCATCGCCACACTCTGCTGCCATGTGCCACTTTCAGGTCTCTTCACACACTGCTGGTGTGTTAAATTTTTTGACATAGGGTGCAGGCAGATTATGGGCCTCACATAGCTGCTGCCAGGCCCCTAATCTGCCATGGGCCCCTATATACCGCCTCCCTCATGCTGCTGCCAAGTCTAGAGTCTCTCATGGGTCCCTGTACGGCCTCCCATTGCTGCTGTCTCCATCGCCACACTCTGCTGCCATGTGCCACTTTCAGGTCTCTTCACACTGCTGGTGTGTTAAATTTTTTGACATAGGGTGCAGGCAGATTACGGGCCTCACATAGCTGCTGCCAGGCCCCTAATCTGCCATGGGCCCCTATATACCGCCTCCTCATGCTGCTGCCAAGTCTAGAGTCTGTCATGGGTCCCTGTACGGCCTCCCATTGCTGCTGTCTCCATCGCCACACTCTGCTGCCATGTGCCACTTTCAGGTCTCTTCACACTGCTGGTGTGTTTAAATTTTTTGACATAGGGTGCAGGCAGATTACGGGCCTCACATAGCTGCTGCCAGGCCCCTAATCTGCCATGGGCCCCTATATACCGCCTCCTCATGCTGCTGCCAAGTCCAGAGTCTGTCATGGGTCCCTGTACGGCCTCCCATTGCTGCTGTCTCCATCGCCACACTCTGCTGCCATGTGCCACTTTCAGGTCTCTTCACACTGCTGGTGTGTTAAATTTTTTGACATAGGGTGCAGGCAGATTACGGGCCTCACATAGCTGCTGCCAGGCCCCTAATCTGCCATGGGCCCCTATATACCGCCTCCTCATGCTGCTGCCAAGTCCAGAGTCTGTCATGGGTCCCTGTACGGCCTCCCATTGCTGCTGTCTCCATCGCCACACTCTGCTGCCATGTGCCACTTTCAGGTCTCTTCACACTGCTGGTGTGTTAAATTTTTTGACATAGGGTGCAGGCAGATTACGGGCCTCACATAGCTGCTGCCAGGCCCCTAATCTGCCATGGGCCCCTATATACCGCCTCCTCATGCTGCTGCCAAAGTCCAGAGTCTGTCATGGGTCCCTGTACGGCCTCCCATTGCTGCTGTCTCCATCGCCACACTCTGCCATGTGCCACTTTCAGGTCTCTTCACACTGCTGGTGTGTTAAAATTTTTTGACATAGGGTGCAGGCAGATTACGGGCCTCACATAGCTGCTGCCAGGCCCCTAATCTGCCATGGGCCCCTATATACCGCCTCCTCATGCTGCTGCTGCCAAGTCCAGAGTCTCTCATGGGTCCCTGTACGGCCTCCCATTGCTGCTGTCTCCATCGCCACACTCTGCTGCCATGTGCCACTTTTTCAGGTCTCTTCACACTGCTGGTGTGTTAAATTTTTTGACATAGGGTGCAGGCAGATTACGGGCCTCACATAGCTGCTGCCAGGCCCCTAATCTGCCATGGGCCCCTATATACCGCCTCCTCATGCTGCTGCCAAGTCCAGAGTCTCTCATGGGTCCCTGTACGGCCTCCCATTGCTGCTGTCTCCATCGCCACACTCTGCTGCCATGTGCCACTTTCAGGTCTTCACACACTGCTGGTGTGTTAAATTTTTTGACATAGGGTGCAGGCAGATTACGGGCCTCACATAGCTGCTGCCAGGCCCCTAATCTGCCATGGGCCCCTATATACCCGCCTCCTCATGCTGCTGCCAAGTCCAGAGTCTCTGTCATGGGTCCCTGTACGGCCTCCCATGCTGCTGTCTCCATCGCCACACTCTGCTGCCATGTGCCACTTTCAGGTCTCTTCACACACTGCTGGTGTGTTTAAATTTTTTGACATAGGGTGCAGGCAGATTACGGGCCTCACAGCTGCTGCCAGGCCCCTAATCTGCCATGGGCCCCTATATACCGCCTCCTCATGCTGCTGCCAAGTCCAGAGTCTCTCATGGGTCCCTGTACGGCCTCCCATTGCTGCTGTCTCCATCGCCACACTCTGCTGCCATGTGCCACTTTCAGGTCTCTTCACACTGCTGGTGTGTTTAAATTTTTTGACATAGGGTGCAGGCAGATTACGGGCCTCACATAGCTGCTGCCAGGCCCCTAATCTGCCATGGGCCCCTATATACCGCCTCCTCATGCTGCTGCCAAGTCCAGAGTCTGTCATGGGTCCCTGTACGGCCTCCCATTGCTGCTGTCTCCATCGCCACACTCTGCTGCCATGTGCCCACTTTCAGGTCTCTTCACACTGCTGGTGTGTTAAATTTTTTGACATAGGGTGCAGGCAGATTACGGGCCTCACATAGCTGCTGCCAGGCCCCTAATCTGCCATGGGCCCCTATATACCGCCTCCTCATGCTGCTGCCAAGTCTAGAGTCTCTCATGGGTCCCTGTACGGCCTCCCATTGCTGCTGTCTCCATCGCCACACTCTGCCATGTGCCACTTTCAGGTCTCACACACTGCTGGTGTGTTAGGGGTGCAGGCAGATTACGGGCTCACACTGCTGGGTGTTAAATTTTTTGACATAGGGTGCAGGCAGATTACGGGCCTCATGCCTCATATACCGCCTCTGGCTGCTGCCAGGCCCCATAATCTGCCATGGCTGTCCCCCACACTATATGTGCCACTTTCAGGTCCTCCTCATGCTGTGCCTGCCAAGTTTTGACAGAGTCTGGCATGGGTCCCTGTATAGCTGCTGCCCATTGCTGCCATGGGCCCATCGCCTCACATGCTGCTGCCAAGTCCAGTCTCTCATGGGCCCTGTTCAGTCTCCATCGCACACTGCTGCCATGTGCCACTTTCAGGTCTCTTCACACACTGCTGGTGTGTTAAATTTTTTGACATAGGGTGCAGGCAGATTACGGGCCTCACATAGCTGCTGCCAGGCCCCTAATCTGCCATGGGCCCCTATATACCGCCTCCTCATGCTGCTGCCAAGTCTAGAGTCTCTCATGGGTCCCTGTACGGCCCTCCCATTGCTGCTGCTGTCTCCATCGCCACACTCTCTGCCATGTGCCACTTTCAGGTCTCTTCACACTGCTGGTGTGTTAAATTTTTTGACATAGGGTGCAGGCAGATTACGGGCCTCACATAGCTGCTGCCAGGCCCCTAATCTGCCATGGGCCCCTATATACCGCCTCCTCATGCTGCTGCCAAGTCCAGAGTCTGTCATGGGTCCCTGTATGGCCTCCCATTGCTGCTGTCTCCATCGCCACACTCTGCTGCCATGTGCCACTTTCAGGTCTCTTCACACTGCTGGTGTGTTAAATTTTTTGACATAGGGTGCAGGCAGATTACGGGCCTCACATAGCTGCTGCCAGGCCCCTAATCTGCCATGGGCCCCTATATACCGCCTCCTCATGCTGCTGCCAAGTCCAGAGTCTCTCATGGGTCCCTGTACGGCCTCCCATTGCTGCTGTCTCCATCGCCACACTCTGCTGCCATGTGCCACTTTCAGGTCTCTTCACACTGCTGGTGGTGTGTTAAATTTTTTGACATAGGGTGCAGGCAGATTACGGGCCTCACATAGCTGCTGCCAGACATGTAATCTGCCATGGGCCCCCGTACCGACTCCTCATGCTGTGACGTTGCAACAAGGTGGAATTCAACCCTACATATGTTAGACCGCCTTTACGAACAGCTAAAGGCCATCACAGATTTCCTGATGTTAAAAGCGGATAAAGGTACTCCCTGTGTAACTTAGATGTCAGCCATTGGCAGCTCATGTGTGACACCTGCGCTTGCTCAGGCCCTTTGAGGAGGCCACGCTATTCGTGAGTCGGCAGGACTATGGGATGAATGAGGTCAAATCGGCCATGGCCCCCGTACCGCCTGTTCACGCTGATGCTGGTCCCACAGTGTGACCTGGGTCCCTGTACGGCCTTCCATTGCTTCCACTCTGCCATGTGCCACTTTGAAATCTCCTCACACTCCTGCGGTTGTCCATTTTGTCATAGGTTGCTGGCAGATTACAGGCCTTCCATAGGTGCCACCAAGCCCCATATCGGCCATGGGCCCCCGTACCGCCTGGTCACGCTGCTGCTGGGCCCATAGTGTGACCTGGGTCCCTGTACCGCGCCTCCCATTGCTCCCACTCTGCCATGTGCCACTTTCAGGTCTCCTCACGCTCCTGCTGGTTTCCATTTTGTCATAGGTTGCTGTATGGCCTCCCATTGCTGCTGCCTCCACCGCCACACTGTGGCTCCAAACACTGGTTTTGGCCCCGTGACTGGCCAAAGGAGTGAAGTGTGCAGTGATTCTAAGATCGACGGCACTCATCTGCATGTCATACTGACAGACAGTATTATTTCTCTTCCCCAGCAGACTCCAAGGGCATTTAAATTAAAGGTACAGTGTTCTGCACTAATATTAAGTCTCTCTGAAGCCTAGAAACACCCTTTTTTAAGTTAAATTCACAGCGAATTTATTCGACTCGAATTTCTTCGCTCATCTCTAATAATAAAGTAAGAGTCATTTTATATAGGAGAAAAAAAGTGTTTTGATACTGCAACAGCTACATAGCACGGCAGATGTGAAAGGATACATACACAAAAATATAAAATTGACAACTAAAACAGGTCCGAGCCAGGGGCGGACTGACAACTCATGGGGCCCCGGGCAATAGGGGATCATGGGGCCCCTGTGTCCTTGCCCAAACTCAAAAAAGCCTATGAAAAAGGTACCAGGGGCATCTCATGGGGCCCCCTACTGACCCCGGGCCCTCGGGCAGTGCCCGAGTTTCCAAATGGTCAGTCCGCCTCTGGTCCGAGCTGTTTGTAACACAAAAATATTTGTATCTGTTGACATGCCTTCTGGCCAGTAACTGATATTAATGTCCAGACTGGCCAAAACCTTCATTTAAAATCTGGAGAGTTGGATGCAGAGTGTGCTATTTTGAGAGACACACTCCAACAGATACGGTTTGTCTGGTCCTCTCTATCAGATGGTGGAGTTCCTCAGCAGGAAGTGCTTTGTCTTGCAGCATTCATACTTATTCCCTTTTGGTCAATTAAGACTCATGCTTGAACCCAATATCAATCATGAGAGTGTGCAAACTGATTGAAAACATGTTCCTGCTCCACAAACTTAGGGGAAATAAGCCTTTAAAAGGGTTAATCAACCATCGTTAAGAATCCTGCCAAAAGCACAAATATAATCCTCAGCGGAAAAAGGTCCAGATGTTTTTAGCATTAGAACATTTTCAGTGTCCAAAAATAACAATATACAGTATATATATGTATAACAAAAACCTAGATCTTGAGATGCACTTACCTTAGCTGTATAATTCTGAAAAGAGACCTCATAGTCTTGCTCAAATAGGGTAAATGATGTTAGAACTCCTGGACCTCAATGGTGTAAGAGCTTAGAGGGGCTTTGATGTCACCCCATACATCATGCTCCTCCATACTCAAATCATTGGGTATTCAGGAGTGGTGGGTGTGACAACAATGGTGTAGGGCCACTTTCAACAAAATGTGACAAATGGCTAGTCAGATGCTGCCACCAGTACTTCACAGACGTAGGATGAACTCGCACCACACTGTCAGTGAGAAGGAGCAGTAGGAAGAGCTGGAGAGGTGAGTATAAAGTTGTGAAGATGAAGGCCCCTTGACCTTACTGAACGGAGCCATGGCTGCTGACAACATCTAGACCATGGCTTTTTAACCAGGGTGCCGCAGCAACTTGGGGTGCTGCAACAAAATAACATATAGCTCTTTACAACTTGATCATGACAGAGTTACTCTATTAACATCTGTGTACAGAGAGGAGGAAGACAGCTCACCCCCCACCTCCTCCCTGCTCTCTCCTCCTCTACTCTGTTATCTGTACTCTTGCCAGCAAAACTGAAAGCTGTACAAGCCACCCGACCTGTCCTTAGCAACTGATGATGTTGCTATGTGATTATAGTATATATAAGTATTAACAGAGATACCTCCAGATGAATGTTTTGGCAAAATTCAGTTACAGGGGCTCCTGAGGATGATTTGGCATCTGTCTTTATGTCAGAGACCTGAATACAAGATCAGCAGTAACAGGGGGATCTCCAACTACTGTCCAACAAGCCTGGACTGGGACTTGTCATTGGCAAGAACTGTGGTGTTGCATTGGAACTTTAGGTCCATCAACTCTGTGCTTTATTCTCTCCTTAATCATTTAAAATAGTCTCTTCTGGTCTGGGGGACAGCAACTCCATGGACAAGACATGTGGTTCAGTTCTCTCGCTCTGCCTGCTTTCTGGAAACTCCCCTTTATAAAGATATCAAAGTTCTCAAATATGGGTTTTTGACCCAGCTAGCAGGGATAGGAGGTGTACATACAGTATATAACTCTGACAGTAAGATGCACAGCCAATTACATACAGTAGCGGGCAGCAGATCCCTACACTCCCAATATTTTAGTGTTTCCATCTCCTAGTCTGGGCTGCAACTAAATAGACACAGAGTCTTATTCTTTGAGATCGTCGCTTTAGTTGTCCTCAAAGAAGAAGGCTCAGTGGGCATTTTGTCTCAAGGAATAAGGACCTAGGAATGTAAACACTGAGAGTATTTCAGCCAAGCTCCATGGGTGACAGGAAAGGTCTACAGGTATAGCATTTGCATTAAACAATATTTTTACAAATTGCACTCCTGGGCCCCTTGTCTGCATGGACCAGCTGATGTCTGTAGCACCCTCCTATATATGGATATGGAATATAAATTTAGTTACTAACGCACTGAAATCAGTTGGGCTGTGTATGATTATTTTGGTCTGCTCTGTGTTTCACTGACTGCAGGGTTGGCTGCATCTCCGTCTATCTGGAGGATTCTGGAAGATAGTGGGCTGGAAGAGTCAAACCAGCAGTTGACTATTTATGCAACTCTTGCCAATCCCCACGGAGTGGTGCCCAGATGGTTGCTTGGAGAGAGCATACATAGTCTGGGGCCTGGAGCAGAGGGGTTCTTGTCCTAGAAGAAGAGATCCCAGCCTGGAGGGCTGCTGCCCTTCTGGCAGACTTGTCATGCTTCTGCTTCTCATCAAGGTACCAGCCATGCTAGCTGTGGGGCCTATTCTTCTGAAGTTTGCTGGAGCTGACTGGGGGACTTTCTTGTGGGGATCTGGTGTGAAGAATTCACAGGAGAGGTGTCTGGAAGATATCAGAAGGAGACATCCAGTTATTCAAGGACATTAGTGAGTACAGAAAGATGTGAGAAATCCCAATGACTGTGCGCTGCTACTATCCCCTTGTACTAGAGTCAGCATTTCTCAAAGAGGACATTGTACTTGTGGCTCAGCCCGATATTTGCTGCTGCAAGGACTGTGCTCAGATTCTTAGGAGGAAGATTGGTGCCCTCAAGTTACTACTTAGCGTTGCTGGAATATCCCACAGTTACCCTACACTCATCCAGGTTCAAGTTCTTGCAATGAACCATCAAAAAAGAATACCCAGCCTAGACTGATTACTGAGCCAATGGAGTGACTTTGACTGGGTGCCTGGCTGCAGGTTCATCTGCTGGGAAAAAACCTTGGGACCTATATAGTGAGTAAAGGTAAACTTAGCTTTCAAAGTGAAGCAGAACAACATGGTGGCCTGAGTGCTAATCTGATCAAGCAACAACATATGCACTGCTCAAAAAAATTAAAGGAACACTTTGAAAACACATCAGATCTCAATGGGGAAAAATATCATGCTGGATCACTGAGCTCCTGGACAATCTCAGGTGCAACCTGGCGGCGTCGGATGGACCGAAACATGATATGTCAGAGGTGTTCTATTGGATTTAGGTCAGGCGAGCGTGGAGGCAATTCAATGGTATCAATTCCTCCATCCTCCAAGAACTGCCTGCATACTCTCTCCACATGAGGCTGGGCATTGTCATGCACCAGGAGGAACCCAGGATCCACTGCACCAGTGTAGGGTCTGACAATGGGTCCAAAGATTTCATCCCGATACCATATCATCCAAGGATTTCATCCCGATAATGGCAGTCAGGGTGCCATTGTCTAGCCTGTAGGGGCCTATGCATCCCTTCCTGGATAAGCCTCCCCAGACCATCACTGACTCACCACCAAAAGGGTCATTCTGAACGGTGTTCCAGCAGCTGCAGGGAGATCTCTGGGTGTTGTGGCAAGATGGCCACCACTCCGCTTTGGAATGCACGCCGTCCATGTGGAGCGCAAAAACTGGAAGTGACATCAAAAAGGGGCGGTGAATGCGCGATTCACTTCATCAAGACCGAGTCCTAAAGCCGAGGAGCCATGTAAATAGGGGAAGGGGGCGGAAGGAGGGCAGCACTAAGG